AATTAAAGATTTATTTTTTATATAATTTTAATTTAATTTAAAAATATTTTTCATAAAATGATTCGATATATTTCACTTTTTTATTATTAATTTTTATTACGATAGAATTTTGATTAAACCATTAATTAATAAAATAATATATTTTAAAAATAAAATTTGATTGTCTTATTGAAAATTTTTATTTTTTAAATACTAAATTAACAGGAATAATATAATTTAAATATTAAATTACTAATTAATAAAAAAACAAATCATGTCTATATTCAATTTTTACTCTAAAATGTTCATGACTTCATATTTATTTGCTCTATTTTATACGTTTCTCTTGAAACAAGAAAGTAAGATCCTTTATTTTATTTTATTATTATTTTTATATGAAGACGAATGAGTTAGGACAAATTTGAATGATTCAACTCGATTATTTAAAATAATGTCAGTTCACCCCGACATTGCTGCATTCAAAATCTTATTGGTCGTGCTATAAAGTTTTAAAATCTCATTCGACTTCTAAATGAATTTTAATAGTTCAGTTGATTCAGTTCATTAATTTTTTAATTTTAATATTTTTATTTTTAAATATTATTTTAATATAATTTAAAAGATATTTTAATAAATTAAATATAAAATAATTTTTTTTCTTTATAAAAATTAATAATAATATATAATTTGATTTAATTTTTTAATTTTACTTTTTATTAAAAAATTGATTTAAATTTAATATATCATTTAATATTCAAAATAAAGAAAAAATAATTCGTCAAATTAAATATTATAATTTTAAATTTTGATTTTTTTTTCAATTCTACTAATTGAGTGAGGACAAAATTTTACTGTTCAACTAATTATTCAAAACAATGTCAGTCTACCTATTTATTATTACATCTGCGCATGTGTTCAGAAAAGGTTCATGACATATCATTAAGATAGCAATAAAAACAAAATATTTCAAAAATCTTTTGACATATCATCATTTCATTAAAAAAGATGTGATTATATGGTGAAAAATTTTGAAAATTTTTAGCAATTATCTTTAAAATGATTTTATTAGCAATAAAAGTGTAAAAATTAATTCTATTATAATTAAGATACTAAAGGTCACCTCATTTTTTTACTTTTGTTTAGTTCGAAAATGGAGAACCAATTTGAAAATACAATAGTCATCATGATTTTTTTTTTCTCCTTCGATTTCATTTTGTATGTTTCTTACTGATATTTTGGTTAAATAAATTTAATTTTAACAGTTTTTTAAAATATTATATTAAATCAAAATTTTTATAAATATATTTTAAAAATTTTGAAATTCAATTTCATAATTTTTAACAAAAATAATCAAAATTGAGTTAATTTAATTAAAATGTCAATAAAAAACAAAATGGAACGAAAAAGAAATATTATAGAAGATAATGAAATACCTCACATATTAGTTGGATTCTTGAAAAGAGGTAATAGTCGATGGCTCCATGTGTTAGTTCGAACCAATTCTAATTTTTTCTTTTCAATTGCCTTTCAACTATAGAAAAATTACCCTTTTTGCCATTTTCCCACTTTTTTTTTTTTTTTTTTGTGAAAATCAAACATATACAAGTATAAACATACACAATAAAACAAACCCACTAAATAGAAAAAAATCCAAAAATTAAAATTGATTCTAACTGCAATCCCTTACCCACAAATTTGTGAAATCCCGAAACTATTCAACCCTTGGAAAGAAAGAGAAGAAGAAGTTGATAAAAAAGAATAGAAGAGTCATTCCTTGAGTTTAATCCATTAGATTTTTTCAATTGGCATGTCCTTGTTCCTATCCATTTTGATTTGGTAGAGCTATTTTTTTTCTATTTTTTAATGACTTTAAACTAAATTGTCAATCTTAAGATAATTACAAATCTGCACAATCCCAAAGGAAAAAAAAAGACAACTTGGGTGTTTTTTCTTGGTATTCTTTTTGGAATATAATTTATAGTCAGAGATTAGTAGTAAAGCAAAAACTCAAACATGGAAAGGAGTAAAAAATTAGGCTTATTTTTCTCACCTTTTGCCCACTGTTCATCCATCATTTCTTCACCGATTTTGCTTGATCATAGATCAGATCTCTTGTTTCTCTTCATATTTTTTTTTCAATTTTCTGCATCTTCTTATTGCTAGACTAGTTATGGTGCAAGTTTCTACCTTTTCTCTTATGGTTTTGGTTGAAGAATCGAACCTCAGCAATTCAAAAAAAAAGAAAAAAAAAGAAAGAAATGGTAGTGGTTATAATATATGTGAGAAGAATTTGGTTGATTTTTTATGTATTTGATTTTGCTTATGTGGATTTGATTTTTTTGTTTGCTTTTTTGACGTGGATATAGTATATTACTTGGCATCGGATTTGGCAATCACGTCATTTTTCTATTAATTGTTTGGATGTTTCCTGTTAGGGTGATTAAGTTTGAAACATTTAACAAATTTTGATGACTTAAATGGGATATATTAAAATTTTATGACCCAGTTCGGAAAATTAGTAAAGTTGGGTGACTAACCCTGTAATTTACTCCAGTTAATGTTCGACGTATTTCAATTCTTATAGTTTACCATTTGACACGAGTACTTTTATTCCCTTCTCACCCATACGTTTGAGCTTCACGTGTTGGAACCATGTAAATAGATTGTGGTGATACGTAACTTGAATTTTAATTTTTTTTTATCTTTTTATAAGTTAAATTTGATATATTGCTTCAATTATTAACAATATCAGATACTTTCCATTAAATTTATTGATATAATTATTGATTTTATAACATGATATTAATTTTCCTAATATAATAATTTAAATAAATAAATAAATTATTAAATTATGTAAATAATTTTTGTATTGACATAAAATAATTTTAATAATCTAAAATAATTCATAATAATTTTATCTTTATAGAAATTAAATTTGAAAATACTAATCTAATTATTAATATTATTAATTATTTTTTATAATTTTTTTACTGTGATATGTTTGATGTGACATTTTTGTTTAAAAGACTGATATTTACTTGCCCCATTTTATATTTTTTTCTTGAAAAAAAATTTGTGATCCTTTAATATATTTTATTATATTTTTTTTTGAACAGAAGTATGGAGACGAATCAGTTACGACAAACTTAAAATGTTCAATTCAATTGTTATCTGGACATTATTATTAGACGTACTTTCATCCTGTATGTCGTTCTGTAAAAGTAAAATGATTCCAAAAAAGAAAACAAAATGGTCAGAAGAAAGGGACACCACAATGTTATCGGTCCAAATTGGATCAACAGAAGAAAGGGGCACCACAAAGTAATTGGTCAGAAGAATGGGGCACAACAAAAATTAGTCTTCAACGGCACAAACAGACGGTCCTCTTCGTTTATTCGTGTGACAACTTTCTTTATAAAAAACGAAAATGAAATGTGATTATTTGATTGTAAATTTATTTTTTTAAAATACTTAACTAATACAAATATATAATTTAAATATCAAATTATTAATTAGTCCAAAAAAAAGTGTCCATATTCCTTGCTCCATTTTATAAGTTTCTCTTAAAAAAAAAGTAAGGTTCTTTATTGATTAGGAGAAAATGAGTTAGGACAAATTTGAATTGATCAACTTAATTATTCAAAATTACCCATCTAAATAATAAATTTTACTAAAGTCACTTCTTTCCGTTGCTTAACATTTTTTTAATAGCCAATTAGTCATTAAATTTTGTATTAGTTAATATATTATTAAAATTGATATTTAAAAATTACAAATTTAAAAAAAAATTAAGCATGAAATTTTTTTAAACAAAATAAATATTGAGACAAAGGGTTGAAGGATAAATTAAAAATAAAAAAAGACTCTTTTTTGAACATTATCTACTCTCAATTACTTCTTCTAAGCAATAAAATTCGTTTTTAATTTTTTATTGTAATTCATAATTAAAAAACTAATTTGTAAAAAATTATAAAATTAAATTAAAAATAATTTAAATTTAACAAATATTAGAAAATTATTAATTTATATTATTTTTATTAAATTAATATTTTTAAAAACTAAAATATCAATTTAAAATATTGTTATTAAAATCAATTCAGATTTGAATGATTTTGAATTCTCAAATTATTTTGAATTCATATTATTTAAAAATTCAAATCAAATTGAATAAGTTCAACTCATTAACTTTTTGGATTAAATTGAGTTTACTTATACAACATTATTACATTTAATTCACAAACAAGTGATTGATTCAATCAGTTATGCTTATTTTTTTTGACGAAGAAGTCTTGGGTTTGAATATTATCTGTGGTCTTTGATCCGAGGGATTGAGCAACCTATCTACCATTTAATTTTTTTTAAGCAAAAAAAAAAATTCAATTCAATTAAATTGAATGAATATATAAAATCATTCTCCTACTTTATTTATACTTGATATTTTTTGCTTATACGACATTATTTCATAAGTTTTAAAAAATTGATATTATTACATAATTAAAATTTTTAGTTTCAGTTTCAATTTTGGTAGTGATAGTAGATTTGACAATTGAGATATTGATGTTATGTAAAACACTCATAATTAATATATTTATGTTATATTTTATATGAAATTATATAAAATAATTAATATTCATACAAAAAGCAATAAATATATATTTTTAATTTTTGTTAAATTTATTTTTATTAAAAATTTTAATTTATGTTATTTTTATATTTTTTTTATATAATTTCGTGTTATGGCATAGTAATACGTTTTAAATTATCGAATTTATTTGGTAGACTCAAATATTAAAAAAAAGGGAATTTATCGAATAGATTTCGTAGGGATTAATATATAATTCATGAGTATTTCATCAATTTTTTTTTTCTAGATATGCATTTAAAATTTTTCATGCCTTATTACTGAATTGTCCTGCACACCATGAATCACGCTTTCCCTCGTTTACCAATAACCAGAAATGGCTGTGCCAGTACGTCCAAAAAAATCAAAGCCGCGTCAATGTGGGTCCAATATTATTAACTTGTAAAAAATTCAATATGGACTTGTAAAATGATTCTTGCAATCAAGGAGCAAAAGAAAGAAAGAGAAACAAAACTCGTCCAATTCAATACAATTCATCTTTACCCAACTCCACTTCTTCTTGCTAACCCAAATTCTTTTCTCAAATTTCTCTACTCTCATTTCTTCCTCTAATTTCTTGCAATAACGCAAGCCAACCATGTCTTTGCTTGGAGCCCTGTCCGCTATACGAGAAATTATTGTTTCCAAATTCTTTGACTATCTTCTATACAAGTTGGGTTCTTTTGAATTCCTGCAATTTTCCAGTGAAAAGCAGATTCAAGAAGAGCTCGAGAAGTTGAAGAAGGAATTGCTGGAGATTCGTCTACTGCTTGATGATGCTGAGGAGAGGCAGATAAAAAATCAATCTGTGAAAAATTGGTTGTCAGACCTCCAAATTTTGGCATACGATGTGGATGACATTGTGGACGAGCTTGAAACTGGAATTGCCGAGCGTAATTTGATGTTGAAACGTCATGGTAGTTCAAGTAAGAAACCCAGACTCATTTTTGATACTTTCGATGTTGTTTTGTTTAACAGTGTCATGATGTCAAAAATAAAAGATATCACTGTCAAATTGAAAGATTTAGAACCTCGAAAAAATCAGTTACAACTAAGAATGATCGACTCCTCGAAGTCCAAAAGAATAAAAGGAAGGCAGCAACCTACTTCTCTGGAGATTGAAACTCAGGTGTATGGTAGAGACAAAGATAAGGAGACAATACTTGAATTGGTTATCAAGAGTGATGATGAAGAAAATTTTGTGATTCCCATCGTTGGAATGGGAGGGATCGGTAAGACAACCTTGGCCCAGCTTATTTACAATGATGTTACTGTTCACAATAATTTTGATCTTAAAGCATGGGTTTGTGTTTCTGATGATTTTGATGTCACAAAAATCACAAAAGCAATTTTTCAGGCAATCACTTCTGAGCCATGCAGTGACAATGATTTGAATTCTCTTCAAGAAAAATTAAAGAATAAGTTGTCAGGGAAAAAATTCTTGATTGTTTTGGATGACGTTTGGAATGAGAATTATCATGACTGGACTATTTTACAATCTCCTTTTCTAACAAGGACTGCGGGAAGCAAAATTATCGTGACAACAAGAAGTTTTGCTGTTTCATCTACAATGGGTGCTTCTCATGCTCATTCTTTACAGGTTTTGTCAGAAGATGATTGTTTGTCTGTATTTGCTCAACATGCATTGGGATTAAGAGATTTTGGAGGACATCCAAATCTGAAAGAAGTTGCTGAGAAAATAGTGAGGAAGTGCAATGGCTTGCCTTTGGCTGCTAAAACCCTTGGAGGATTGCTTCGTACTAATGTTGACCTTGATGCTTGGCAAAAAATATTAGAGAGTGAGATATGGAAGCTATCACATCATCAGTGTGGTATAATTCCAGCTCTTCAATTGAGTTACCATCATCTTCCTCCACATTTGAAGCGGTGCTTTGCATATTGCTCCATTCTTCCTAAGGATTATGAATTTCAAGAGAAAGAAATAATCTTGTTATGGAAGGCAGAAGGCTTTTTACAGGAAGCAAGTGATAAATATAGCTTTGAAGGTCTAGGCCACAAGTATTTTAGAGATCTAGTATCAAGGTCTCTTTTGCAAATATCAAACAAAGACAGTTCTCGATTTGTTATGCATGACCTCATTAATGATTTGGCTAAATCAGTTGCCGGAGAAATATGTTTCAGAATTGAAGGTGATCAGAAATTTTCAAAGCACGCTCGTCACTTATCTTACATTGGTGGTCAGTTTGATGGCATCAAAAAATTTAAGGGCATTGGTGAAGCACAACATTTACGTACTTTTTTACCATTTAGGATGTCAAACTATATGAGTTGTTGGGTAACTAATGATGTTTTAACACATTTGTTGCCAAATTTAAGATGCCTAAGGGTGCTTTCTTTGAGAGGGTATCAAATCTCAGAGTTGCCGGATTTTATCAGAAATTTAAAACACTTGCGGTACTTGGATTTTTCTCGCACTCCTATTAAGTGCTTACCTGAGTTCGTTAGTACCCTTTATAATTTAGAAACACTTTTATTAAGGAAGTGTATGAATCTTGAGAAGCTACCTTTAGAGATGGAAAACCTAGTCAACCTATGTTATCTTGATATCACTGGTGCATATCGCTTAGAAAGCATGCCGAGTAATTTTAGCACACTAAGTGATCTTCAAACACTATCCGATTTTGTTTTACAAAAGGGAAAGGGATGTCAAATAAGGGAGCTAGAGGCTTTATCAAATCTCAAGGGTCAACTTTGTATTTTAGGGTTGGAGAATGTGGTTGAAACTCAAGATGCACGGAAAGCTAAGTTACATGAGAAATTAGGATTGGATAAGTTAAAATTGATATGGAGTGAAGACTTTAAGAATAGAAATGCAGAAATCGAGACAGAAGTGTTGGATTTGCTTCATCCTTCCAAAAAGCTTAAAGAGCTTACCCTCATGTTCTATGGTGGTGTGAGGTTGGCGGAATGGATGGGAGATTCTTCATTCAATAAGTTACTATCTTTGTGCCTTGAATATTGCCCAAATTGCACATCATTGCCATCAATTGGGCGATTGCCATTGTTGGAAAAATTAAGCATCAAGAGAATGCGTAGTGTAACTAGTGTGGGAGTTGAGTTCTTCGGAAAGAATGTGCCACATGCGTTTCCTTCATTGGAGACTTTAGAATTTGAAAACATGCTTAAATGGGAGAATTGGAACTTTTGGGAAGTTAATGAGGAATCTAGGAAATTCCCTAAACTTCGTGAGCTTCGTATTGTGAATTGCCCAGAACTGTTGGGGAGTATACCGGAAAATCTTCCTTCTTTGGAGAAACTTGTGATTTGTTATTGTAAGAAATTGGTGATTTCAATTCAAAGCCTTCCAAAGCTTTCAGAATTGGATGTTCAAGGGTGCCACGAGGTAGTGTATAAAGGTTTTGCAGATGACAGCTCATTAAAAAGAGTCCGTTTTTCAAGAATTCCCAAGTTTACGTGTGCAGCAGAATGGTTGACGTTAGGATCAATAAAAGTGGAATCCCTTAAGATCGACGATTGTAAAGAGTTGTGCTCTTCGCAAGAGAACAATTGGGGATTGCTAACTCAGTCGATGTCACTTGGTGAATTGAGTATTGGAAAGTGGTCTCAACTTATCTCTATAGGGGTAGAGGAGGAAGAAGAAGAATTGATGCAATTGAAAATCCCTTGCACCGTTCAACAGCTTACTATATGGGATTGTGAGAGGTTAGAAAAACTATCAACAACCTTGCACTACGTCACATCACTTAAGATGCTACAACTTTCGTATTGCCCCAATCTGATTTCTCTTTCACATAAAAATTTGCCTTCGAATCTAAAAACCTTAGTGATTGGTGGTTGTAAAAATTTACGGTGTTTGTTGGAAGAGGGAGAGAATGTTAACCTCAGCAGTGCATGTCTTCTTGAGCAGTTGAATATTAGCAATTGTCCAGCTCTGGAATCTTTATCATCAAGAGGGCAGTTACCCACGCGGCTTAAACTATTGCAAATATACAGTTGTGCAAAGCTGGAGTCCATAGCTCAAGAAATTCAAGATAACTCTTCTCTTGAAAGTATTATTATAAATGGGTGCAGTAATATTAAGTATTTACCTCAAGGATTGAACAAGCTCAGCCATCTCCGGTGCATACAATTCCGTAATTGTTCAAATTTGGTTTCCTTTCCAAAAAGTTGTTTGCGCACCTCCAACCTCAAAGTGCTTCTCCTCCATTCATGTGAAAAACTCCATGCTCTGCCTGACGATATACACAACCTTAGTTGTCTAGAAGAATTGGAAATAAGAAACTGCGCAAGTCTGACATCCTTCCCAGAAGAGGGCATTCCTACTAATCTCAGAAAACTTACCATCGAAGGACCCAACATCTGTAAGCCACTTATTGAGTGGGGATTGCATAGACTCACTTCTCTTAAATCTCTCTACATTTCAAATGTGTTGTTTCCACAAGAGGAGATAGAAATGACGTTGCCCTACTCTCTCACCCATCTCACCGTCATTGATTTCCCAAAACTGGAAACCCTATCCTCCGGGGGCTTTCAGGACCTCACCTCTCTGGAGTACTTGACCATCGGTTCTTGCCTAAACCTCAAGTCTCTTCCGGACAAGAACATGCTTTCTTCGCTTTTGCAGCTACATATTTGGAGATGTCCAGTGCTAAAAGAACAATGTGGAAATGATAAAGGACCAGAGTGGTCCAAGATAGCCCATATACCTTTTGTGGTAATTGGCGAGTGATACATCTATGATTCCAGCTAGTTTTGTTTCAGAAGATAATGGCTCAGACAATAATTTTTCATAGCAGCAAAGTTGAAAAGAAGGAAGTCAATGACTCAAAGTTGCAGGTATATCAATTTCAAATTGATTATAAACCTTACAAAAATTTTTTACTATTATAATGTTCCTTACATCTTCAAATTTATACACTAAAGAGAAAGGAAAACACTTTCAATTGATTTTATTAATCTTCAGACATTTAATTTCTTTTTAGGTTCATGATCCATTGCTTTTTTTTTTTTTTTGCATTAATTCAACAAAAATTGAGAATTTTAGTTATTTTTGCAGGATATGATACTAAGCACGACCTTATTTACAAAATGCTTGTTATCTGCTGAGAGTAAAGATTGGAGTTACAGAAAGGGATTTCACATAGGTCTCTTTGGTGCTGGTTGTTATATGGAGCAAAGGTTTATGAATTTTCTTTGGTATTTTCGGGTCAGCAAAGTGATTTTTATCTATAAATAAAGTCATTTCATAGCTAACCATCCATACTTTGGCATTAAATTGACACCTTTGACTTAAAAACCTGCCAATTTTGATAGCACAAGTATAGCTCTTTCTATGTTCAATCTAAATCTTTACTATTTTGGAGCATTAGTAAATTTGTTTTTATCATATGAATGGTTGAATTGAAAATACTAAAGTAGATGTCGGTGAAGTTGACCATGCCATTGTTACCATCTTTTAAACTATGATTTACTCTATTTGGTTTTTGTAGGACCTACCAACTACAGATGTCGGGAAGGCTGAATGATCTGTGCTATAGCTTTGGTAGTGAAAATGACATTGGCTGTCTCTTGAAATTTGAAGTTATCTTCTTTGATCCTGAGTTCCGTACAAGTATAATTGAAGGTTCTTTCATTTTATTGAAACAAATTAGAAAATCCAGGCATGGCTTGTTAAAAACACTAATTTTTCATGTTAACAATATTTTCATGATAATTTTACGTGTTTTAGTTTCTCCTATAGCTAGTTGGACATGTAATTGTTGTGGGTCTATGATCCATCATTGCAACACCTAAAGACACACTCATTGTTCTTGCAGTGTTCCTGTGGTCAATTGTGAGATAAAAGCCGTTCACCTATGACTCAAGTTAGTCCACAAGCTTTTTGCATGCTTGGATAAAAGATTCATTTATGGAAATCATTTCATGGAAAGAAAAATGGCGTAAGTAAAGTGTATACCTTTTTCCATATTCGTAATCAAACGTAAGTATGGAAATACAAAATTCCTTTTTATTCTTTTCTTTTCCCTTACTTTTAGTAACCTCCATTAATTATATTCTTATAATTGTACATTTCTAACAGAATGGTGCTGAAGTGATAAAGAAAAAGTGTGGTTCAATATTGCCCACAAGCTTTTGTCCAAATGGATGATAGTTTCATATGTTATCAAGAGGAAGTTGACTAAAAATCAATCAGAGGATGTCACAGGTATAACAATTTGGAAATGCATTCGAATAGTTGCAACACTTGGAACTTTAGGAGGATTTTGTTCCATAATTATATGTGATCTTTCATATAAAAATCAAATTTGAGAAACTGGCATTGCCAATGACCAATTCTTGCACATTTTATATGTGGCACAGAAAAGGTTGAGTTTATTTGGATATATATATATATATATATATATATTTCAAAGCTGACATTGATTGTATATTCATCTATGATCCAGAGAATTCAAAATTTTGAGAGCTATTTAATCTCTGAAAAGTAAAGGTAAGACAAAGGGGTTACAAATTTACCTTATCCTTTGCTTAAACTCAATGTTAGGTATTTCAATTTGGAAAAGCTTTTCCACTTTCTTCATAACTGATTTCCTATTTCTAAAAACAATGTTGTTCATCTTATTTTCATGTTGAAACTCATATGATATTATCATTGGTCATTTTTCAGGCATGCAAGAAGTCTGTACAATCTGTCACGTGGAAATTTGATTTTCATCATTTTTTTTAGGATGAAATGACATTAATTAGGCCTTCATCCAAAGTTTTAGTTAGGAAAAGGGAAAACTAATAATTTTCTGCTTTCAGGCATTCATGAAAGTTGTGGAATATGCGAGACAACGCAGATGGAAGAAGCTAGTTGAATTTAATGCTCAGGTATTTATGTATTTATAGCTTCTTTTTGTACTTCAATTTTAGTACAATTGGAGCTCAAGAAAGGTTTGGAAGCTAGTTCTATACTGAAAAAAGGTGTGAAAATAGATGAAGGAAACCATAGTAATTACCAACAGAAAGAATACTTGTTCTGATGCAATGGTAAAATTCAAAGATTGCTAATTCCAAAACCTTCGATAAGGGCTTTTATACCCAAATCTTCTTATTTGCATGTTAAATTAAAAAAACTTTATCATTAATTGCTGCAATTGATAGGTATTTTAAATTCTCTTATATTTTTTCGTATCATTTGTTTATTTCTCAAAGAAAGAGTATTTTTTTCTTGTTGCATATTGTTTAACCCATAGAAATGAAATGAAACCTTCGTTTCTTTTTTACGTTTTTTTCTGATAAGTTTGTCATAAAACTTGAACCAGGAACTTAAAAGAAAAATAAAAATAGTAAGTTGCAGTGCAGCACTCATATCGATTCTTACCTGAAGAACTGTACCGATGCGTTGAGCTTATGCTTTGTGAAGATGCTTCCCTGCCTGTGCCTCAATGTCTGAGAAATGATGTAAGTACTGTACCAGCAGTGACATTGAACCTAGGCATCAGTGAGTAACACCATTATTGCAATGATTAAATGCAACACCCAAGCGTTGCTCTTCTTTTCCACTAAACCATCTTACTTCTGCTTGAGTTTTTCTTTGTAGTCAATCCGTGCCATTGTTTAAAGCTGTAAATAAAAATGGGTGCTTTGCTTGGAGACATGATATATCCAGATTATAAGCGTATTATACCACTTGGAATATAGCCAGGTAACCAAATATTGATACCTTGCTTTATTATTTTTTCTCGCATGGAGATGCCGAAAATTATGATTTGCATCTGAAATCTTGAAAAAAGAATATGAAGTAATCTTCATGTTTTGAAATTGATTTTGTGGGCAGCGTGCAAGGTTTACAAATTACAATCTGTGAACGCAGCGATTACAGTGGCAGGTTAACTCAAGTTAAGATCAGGTATGGTTCAAATCTAAACAATATTTAGTTCCATTTGATTTGAACATGAGCAAATCAAAGTTAATCCTGCTTATGGAAATACAGGAATATTGAATGCTCCTTACTCCTAAAAGGATCAGCTAAAATTCTCTCTTGCATCTCTCTGTGGATTTAGCTTTCTGGCTTATAAAAGGACTGAAAAGGTTTATGAAGAGGTTAGTTCTTTCTCCAAGACTTCTACATGTTATCTATATTTACATAATTGAAAGAGAAATGTATCATACTAAGCTTTGATTGACTTAAATACATGTTATCTTTTAAATAAATTTCAGTTCAAGTTGAAGAAGCTTTTGCTCGACAAAAGCAAATGAAGTTTAGACATGCATGTGTGAAGAATTTGCTACAATCAGCAAACGAGGATATTGTAACAGATCAAAAGAATGAGCTAGGTAGCTAGGAGGACAATGCTACACTGATTTCTCTGCTGCCACTACCATTCACCATAGCCATGTGCAGCTTGATGGGCTAATATCAACTTCTCTGTCTTAATTGGAACTGAACTCCTTACGTTGAAAGATTTGTTTATGGTGATAGCAAAGACACACCATCAGTGGCACAATCATTCAAACTTGGATAAGATTCACTTTTCTTGCTCAGTTGCTGCATGAACGCACTTGAGAAGTGCTCCGCAAGCATCTTAGAGAATCACATCTGCCAGAGAGGTTTCAATTAAAGCTTCATGAAAGTCCAATAACCTTTCCAATGGCAGTGTCCAGATTAATTTCACAGAAGCAAGGCCATGTTGGGTAGCCCTGCTGGCATTATGCTCATTGTACCAACTAAAGGATAAATAAACCATCTCCTATGCAGGCTCTCACATCCCTTATTGGTAAAGTAAATCCACTTGGGGCTCCCTTATCCGAGGCATCGTGTGAAAATGAGTCCTGGGTTTTTGCCATGTAGATTGGTGGATCAGAAAACCTTTGTCTGCTGTACAACTTTATCTTTGTCTCCGCCCGAGTTGACAAACAAAAAAAGAAAAGACTCGTGACGACAAGAAAACTCCTGGATGTTTTTGTTAGTTAGAAAAGTACTGATAGTGACAACAATCTTGTCTTCTTTAATAGCACAGGAAGCTCCTTGATTGATTATTTAATGAAAAATGGGGAGTTTACCTGTTGGTGTATTCCAAACCACTGGCACCATATGACCTTGCTATTGCCTCTATTTCTCTTTAACACTAATACCCAAAGTATATAGGAACTTCAATGGCTGTGTCACATTGACACATTCTCGCAGGCCCTTTTGTTCAACTAGATGGACCTAGCTACATAAATAGCACAAGAGATGCCATGCATGTGGGTGAAAACAAAGAGGCTAATTCTAAAGAATTCACTTTCGGAGTGCATCATAATGATTTTTATGGAAACGGATTGGTAGGAAAAAGACACTAACCGCTCCTTTTCCTTTTCCACCATGAGCATGGTGAGTAGAGATTATAGCATCAAATGCTCCAGCAGCCAATGCAGCGTGCAGCATTTCTAGCAACATTTTCATTTCTGCTTCAGTATCAGTTGAGAATTTGTTCACAGCAACAACCGTAGCCTTTTTTTTTTTGTTTGCAATATGCCTTGCCAAATTCACGCAACCAGTTTCAACCAGAGAAACATTCTCATTTAAGTAGACATGGTGAAGAGGCTTCCCAGCAACAACTTCAGGGCCACCACCATGCATTTTCAAGGCCCTTAGTTTTGCTAGGATAACAGCACACTGTTGTATTAGACCACTGTATCGGCACTTGATATTCATGAAGTTATTTTTCTGCTCCAATATCAGGACCAAAACCTGCTTCAGTGACCACAAAACCCACCTGGTCCCATCAGCTTCATCGCAATCTTATCAACCACGATCGAAGATTTACCATGAGCAATATTTGCGAATGAACCCGCATGAACAAGAATGGGTTCCCTCAAGGGTCTACATTAGAGTAGGGTTAATGGCATCTTCCATGAGCACTGTTAAAGCACCTGCTGCAACACCAAGATCGTCAACAGTTGAAGGATCACCGGCCCAGTTGTTTCCAATTACCATTTTGCCGAGCCGCTCTCTCGTATCAGCAAGAGATGTTGTCAGGGCTAAAACTGCCATTATCTCACTTGCAAGTGAAATATAAAATCGTGTTTCCCTCACCTCCCCCTTTTTTCCTGGGCCTTTGCCAAGGGTGATTTTCTTCAAGAACCCATCATTTACATCCATCACTCCGCTCCATGTGTTAGAATTTGGATCAATATCGTTCTACCTTTTGAGCCAAAATTTCTTTCTTAACCACATTCCACAAATGAGTTTGCTTCTGTAGAACGAAAGCTTCTGCAACCTGAACTGCCAGCAACATCATTAATCAAATTAACCACCGTCTATTTAAAACTTAACATGTATTTCTTTTTCAATCATGTAAACATAGATAACATGTAAAAGTCTTGAGAGAGAACTAACCTCTTCATAAATCTTTTTAGACGTCCTTTTATAGGCTGGAAAGCCAAATCCACGTAGAGATCCAAAAGAGAATTTTTTCTCATTCTTTTAGGATAAGGGAGCATTTAATATTCCTGTATTTCCAGAGGTAGGATTAATGATTTGGAGCTTTGATTTACTCATGTTCAAAATGGAACAAAATATTGTTTAGATTTGAACTATACCTGATCTCTAACTTGAGTTAGCCTGCAATTACAATCGCTGTGTACACAAATTGTAGTTTGTAAACCTTGCATGCTGCCTACAAAATTAATTTCAAAACATCAAGATTACTTTAAATAATACTTTCAATATGTGAATTTCAGGTGCAAATCATAATTGTTGGCATCTCCATGCTACATAAAAGCATAAAGGAGGATATCAGTAGTTGGTTCCGAGTCTACCTTCTAAGTGGTTTAATCTGCTTGTAACCTGCAAATATCATGTCTCCAACAAAGTACCCATTGTTATTGACAGCTTTAAACAATGGCATGGATTGACTACAAAGAAAAACTCAACCAGGTAAGATGGTTTAGTGGAAAGGAAGAGCAAAAGAATAGGCGTTTCTTTTAATCATTGCAACAATGGAGTCATTCACTGATGCCTAGGTTCAATGTCACTGCTGGTGCAGTATTTGCGTCATTTCTTAGACACTGAGAAACTGGCAGGGAAGCATCACCTTAAAGCATAAGCTCAACGCGTCTGGATAGTTCTCTAGTACGAAATATATCTGTGCTTCACTACCACTTACGATTTTTATTCTTCTTTAAGTTCCTGGGTTCATGTTTTATGACAATCTTATCAGAAAAAAAGGGAAAAAATTCACTTTTTTTTTATCGAAAAAAATCCCTTTACTTATCCAAAATACCAAAGAAAATTCACAAACCTCTGCTCCATATAACGGCCAGCACCAAAACCAATATGAACTCCCATTCTGACATTTCAATCTTTACTCTCAGCAGATAACAAGCATTTTGTTGATAAGGTCGTGGTTAGTATCTTATCCTGCAAAAATAAGTAAAAAAATCCCAATTTTTTTAATTAATGCAAAAAAACCAGAGGATCACGATCCTGAAAAAAGGATTATATACTTGATGATCAATAAAATAAATTGGAAGCGTTTGCCTTTCTCTATAGTGTATAAAGTTGAAGATGTAATAATCATTTTAATTGTAAAAAGGGTTATAATCAATACCAGTCATTTCTTTCAACTTTGCTGCTCTGAAGAATTATTGTCTGAACCATTATCCTTTGAAACAGAATTAGCTGGAATCATAGATGTATCTGTCATCAATTTGCACACAAGGTATATGGGCTATCTTGGACCACTCTGGTCCTTTCTTTTCGAACCGTTCATTTAGCAGTGGACAATTCCAAATATCCAGCCGCAAAAGCGAAGAAAGCATGTTCTTTTCTGGAAGAGACTTGAGGTTTGGGCAATGTCCGATGGACAAGTACTCCAGACACGGGAGGTACTGAAAGCCCTTGGAGGATAGGATTTGTAGTTTTGGTAAATTGAAGATATCGAGTCTGGTGAGAGAGCAGGGCAGCATCATTCCTATCTCCTCTTGTGGAAATGACTCTGCATCTGGACACCCATTTTGTATGGAGAGAATTTCAAGAGAAGCGAGTCTATGCAATCCCCATTTAATTAGTGGCTTACAGATATTGGGTCCTTCGATGACAAGTTCTCGGAGATTAGTAGGAATGCCCTCTTCTGGGAAGCATGTCAAACTTGAGCAATTTGTTATTTTTAATTCTTCTAGACAGTTGAGGTTGTGCATACCGTCCGGCAGAGATTGGAGTTTTTGACAAAATCCGAGGCTAAGCACTTTCAGGTTTGGGGTGATCAAACCACTTTTCGGAAAGGAAACCAAATTTGAACAATCACTTACATGTATGTTCCGGAGATGGCTGAGTTTGTTCAATCCTTGAGGTAAATACTTAATATTACAACACTCAACGATCTGAATATATTCAAGAGAAGAGCTATCTTGAATTTCTTGTGCTATGGACTCTAGCTTTGCACAACACCATATTCTCAGTTGTTTAAGCCTCGTTGGTAACTCCCCCCTTGATGATAAAGATACAAGGCATGGACAATTGCGAACATCCAACTGCTCAAGAAGACATGCACTTATAGAATTGACATTCTCTCCCTCGTCCAACAATAAACGCTGCAAATTTTCACATTTGTTAATCACTAGCCTTTTCAAATGCAAAGGCAAATTGCTCTTTGAAAGGGAAATCAGCTTTGGACAAGACAAAAGCTCTAGCACCCTAAGCGATGTGATGTAGTGCAAGCGTGTTGATAGCTTTTCTAGCCTTTCACAGTTCTCTATTCTCATTTGCTCTATGCTACCAGGGATCTTTAATTGCATCAATTCTTCTTTTTCCTCTTCTGCCCCTATGGAGACAAGTTGCGGCCAGTTTCGAATTGTCAAATAGACAAGGGACATCGACTGAGTTAGCAATCCCCAATTGTTCTCTCGCAAAGAGCACAACTCCTCGCAATCATCAATCTCAAGTGATTCCACTTTTGTTGACCCTAACATTAACCAATCTGCTGCACAAGTAAACTTGGGAATCTTTGAAAAATAAACACTTCTTAATGATCTATCATCTGCAAAACCTTTATACACTACCTGGTGGCACCTATGAATTTTTAATTCTGAAAGCATTGGAAGGCTTTGAATTGAAATCACCAATTTTTCACAGTTAAAAATCACAAGTTTCTCCAGGCAAGGGAGATTTTCTGGTATACTTCCCAACAGCTTCGGGCAATTTTGAATAAGGAGTAAACGAAGTCTTGGGAATTTTCTAGCTTCCTCGTCAACTTCACAAAAGTTCCAGTTCTCCCATTTAGGCATGTCTTCAAATTCTAAACTGTCCAATGAACGAAATGCATCAGGTGTTTTTTCTCCAAAGAACTCAACTCCCACACTAGTTACATTGTGCAATCCCTTGACGGGTAATTTTTCCAGCAATGGCAATTGCCCGATTGATGGCAATGATGTGCAATTTGGACAATTTTCAAGGTATAAAGATAGTAAATTGTTGATTGAAGAATTTGCTATCCATTCCGCCAACCTCACACCACAATAGTACCCGAGGACAAGCTCCTTAAGCTTTTTGGGAGGTTGAAGCAAATCCAACACTTTTTTCTCAATTTCTTTTCTACTATTCTCAAAGCATCGGCTCCACTTCAATTCTAACTTATCCAATCCTGGCTTATCATCTAACTTAACCTTCCAAGCATCTTGAGTTTCAACAAGATTCTCTAACCCTGAAATACAAAGTTGACCCTTGAGATTTGATAAATCCTCTAACTCCCTTATTTGACTTCCATTGCCTTCATACAAAGCAAAATTGGACAGTGTTTGAAGATCAGCTATTGTGCCAAAATTACTAAAAATGCCTTCTAATCTATATGCACCGGTGATATCAAGAAAACATAGGTTGACTAGGTTTTCCATCTCTGATGGTAGCTTCTCAAGTTTCTGACACTCCCTTAATAAAAGGGTTTCTAAATTATAAAGAGTACTTATTGACTCGGGCAAGCTTTTAATAAGAGTGTAAGAGAAATCTAAGTATCGCAAGTGTTTTAAATCTCCAATAAAAATTGGCAACTTTACGATTTGATACCCTCCCAAAGAAAGCACCCTGAGGCATCTCAAATTTGGCAACAACTGTGATAAAACATTATAGGTTACATAGCCAATTTTATCATTTGACAGCCTAAATGGCAAAAAGGTACGTAAATGTTGTGCTTCACTAATACCCTTAAATTTTTTGATGCCATCATACTTGCCACCAATGTAAGATAAGTGGCGAGTGTGCTTTGAGATTTGCCGATCACCCTCTATTCTGAAGCATTTTTCTCCAGCAACTGATTGAGCCAAATCACTGATGAGGTCATGCATAACAAATCGAGATCTATCTTTATTTGATATTTGCAAAAGAGACCTTGATACTAGATCTCCAAAATACTTGTGGCCTAGAGCTTCAATGCTATGTTTATCCCTTGCTTCTTGTAAAAAGCCTTCTGCCTTCCATAACAAGTTATTTTCTCTCTCTTGAAATTCATCACCTTAGAAGATGGTATAAAGCTTTTTGTAAAGATTTTAAAATTGAACATTATACCAAATGGTCTGATAAGATACTATCTCTAATATATCTTTCCAACATTCAAGGTCAACATTTAGTACGCGGCAAGCCTCCAAGGGTTTTGGCAGCCAAAGGCAAGCCGTCGCACTTCCTCACTATTTTCTCAGCAACTTCTTTTAGATTTGGATGTCCTCCAAAATCTATGGCTCCCAATGCATGTTGAGCAAACACAGACAAACAATCATCTTCTGACAAAACTTGTAAAGAATGAGCAAGAGAAGCACCCACTGTAGATGAAACAGCAAAACTTCTTGTTGTCACGATAATTTTGCTTCCTGGAGTCCTTGTTAGAAATGGAGATTGTAAAATGGTCCAATTATGATAATTCTCATTCCAAACATCATCCAAAACAATCAAAAATTTTTTCTCTGACAACTTCTTCTTTAATTTTTCTTGAAGTGAATTCAAATCATCGTCATTGCATGGCTCAGAAGTTACTGATTGAAAAATTGCTTTTGTTATTCTAGTGACATCAAAATCATCAGAAACACAAACCCATGCTTTGATATCAAAATGATTTTGAATAGTAGCATCATTGTAAACAAGCTGGGCTAAGGTTGTCTTATCGATCCCTCCCATGCCAACGATGGGAATCACAAAATTTCCTTCATCATCACTCTTGAAGACCAATTCAAGTATTGCTTCCTTGTCTTTGTCTCTGCCATATACATGAGTTTCAATCTGCAGAGAAGTAGGTTGCTGCCTTTCTTTCATTCTGTTGGATTTCGAGCAGTCAATCATTCTCAGTTGTAACTGATTTTTTTGAGGCTCTAAATTTTTCAATTTGGCAGAGATATCTTTTATCTTTGACGCCATGCCCCTGTTAAACATAACAACATTGAATGAGTCAGAAATGAGTTTGGGTTTCTTACTTGAGCTACCACGACATTCCAACATCAAATTGCGCCTTGAAGTTTCGGTTTCAAGCTCGTCTACAATGTCATCCACATCATATGCCAAGTTTAGGAGGTCCGACAACCAAAATTCCACAGATTGATCTTTTAACTGCCTCTCCTCGGCATCATCAAGCAGTGCACGAATCTCCAGCAATTCTTTCTTTAACTTCTCGAGCTCTTCTTGAATATGCTGTTCACTGACAAATTGCAAAAACTCAAAAGACACCAATTTATCTAGGAGAAAGTCAAAAAACTTAGAAATAGCAACTTCTCGTATAGCGGACAGTGCTCCAAGCAAAGACATGTTTGTTTTGTGTTCTTGCAAGAAATTAGAAGAAAACTGAGAGCAGAGAAGATTTTGAAAACAGTTGAGCTAGCAGGTGGAAAGGAAGTTTGATTTTTATTTCTCTATCCATAAAATCATATCCAATAATCTAAGGGAAGAAAAACTTATCTATAAAAGTATAGTATGAAAGTGGTTTTTGAATTTCGCCGACACAGATATGTTGATTAATAATTTTTAATGATCATTCAACAAATTGAAAAGTAAGCGCAGGCTTCACTTGAATTTTAGTATTACTTTTTTGGAGACACTCCAATAAGTCCTCGACAATGGTGATGTTAACAATTTTAAAGGCTACAAAACAAATTAGTGGAGGTTGGGATTTATATTTTAAAAGCAAATTGCATGGAAAACGTATTTTTTTTAATTAAAATAATTAAGTGATCAGTATTTTGTGAATAAGAAACGTTTGTAAAATTTATCTGACCTTTACAAATCCATTCCAAAATCTAACCCCTCACAATCCAAAATGAAAATAATAATCTAATAATCCAAAACTTTTAAATGCAATAAAGTAACCTAACGATACCTCATGATTAATTTGTCACCCTTTAAGTTGAGATGAATTTTGCTAGAAGATTTGGGCATGTGAGCTGATCTTATGAAAAGATTGATTTGCATTAATAACTTAAGTTTTTATAGAAAAATAGCCGAAGTTATATAACACCTTTAATATAGAGAAATTATTTAAATTTCATCTGTAAAATTCATAACAAAAAATTATTAATGAAATTAGGGGTCATCATATATACCCTAATTTTTTACTGTAAAGAAACCCTATTATGGTATATTTAAAATGTGAATAAATTAATATGATAAACAAAAGAAAAAATGTCAAATTTATCACTATAATAATTGAGATCCATATTTATGCAATTTTAATTACATAGGGATGAAAAATAGAATCATCCAAAATTTTTTATTATGTCATGTTGACATAGAAAATATTTCATATATATATATATGAACACACACACTTGGAAAATTTCATGCTGGAAAAAATAAACAAGACAATTTAGTGTTTTTTTTTGTATTTAATTAGTAAAAATGTTTAAACTTATAAAAGTTTTTCAAAATTTTTAAATTTATTTAGAAAACCAAAGCTTGATCAATCAAATTAAAATGAACAAGAAAATATATACTTATAAAAAATTAAAAATTATATTTAAATTTTTATAAAATTAAAAAATTTTCAAAATATCCTTGATGTCAATTCATATCTTTTGTGCATTTTATTAGGCTTATATTATATAGTTAAGTGTGACTCCAATTTGTTAACACCCTATTTTGATCGAAATCATTTAGAATATTTTCAAGTCTCAAGTTAGTATCGAGATATCGATTCATAATATTTTAGGCTTTAAGGTTCTAATTGGCTTTAGATAGTCAATTTGGGTTTGGACTTTAATTATTACATCAAACTTGGCTTTAGTTAAGAAGGTCCATTTTTTCCTTTTTTTTTTGGTTATATTTTTCACTTTTTAATATTCTTGTTAAATGGCTATTTATTTTCAAAAAGAAAAAAAATAAAATTTGGATAAGTAAGATAATTCATGAAATCTTTGAATTAAAGTGGTATTCTTTTGAAGATAGAGTTCTGGAGTTGATTTTAAGAAGTAAGTGCAAAATTTTTAAAGTTTAATCTGGTTTTAACTGGTTTCATATCACAATCGGAGTTCATCGATTATAAAAATAACATCAACAATACAAAGTGGAAGGTGCCCGATTTGAGAGTCATATTGGGATCCAAAATTTTCAGATAATCCAATTTCCAGCAACAATTGATCAATAATTCACCCAGCATGAACTCATTCTTCGAGCACCTGTACCTCCGAATTGCCAGGAATACATGGACAATGAATCAATCGTAATTCAAACACAAAAATCCCAAATAAATGCAGCAAGATCAAGAACTGCTAGCAAACTCAGAGGCTAGCAAATAACCACAACACACTAGAAGTTATATCGGTTCTTTTTTTTTTTTTGGGCAAATTGCATAATATTATGAATTTTTAAAATTCAATTCAAACATTCATATAATCCGATCCAAACAGAAATAAATTTTATCAGTTTAATTCGATTCAATTTATTGATTTTTAAATTTTTGTTTTTTATATATTATTTTAATATAAATTTTAATATATTTAAATAGATTTTATACAAATTTATTATTTTTATTTTATAAAAATTTAAAAAATATATAAAACTAATAAAAATATATAATTCCGTTCGGTTTGGTTTGGTTTTTCACTTTCTAATTTGAAATTTGATCCTAACTTAATATATACATTTAATATTTGAATTTAATTTAAATTGAATAAAAAAATGATTTGAATCAAACCGAATACTACAATTTTGAATTAGTTTTTTATTTTTTTATTCTTTTTTCACTCTTAAAACACACAAGATACAGCCACAATTACATAAAAAGTAAACACCATCTACAAATCAACAGCTTTCAAACACAACATATAAGAAACAACCAGGAAATATACAAGCAAGTAGGCAAAAATCTTTTAGCAAGAATTGTTTTTGCTTTCGGCTTTGTGTGTTGGAAAGGTTTATGTTATTTTGAGTTAGTTGATTAGGGTTTTTTGAGTTAGTTGGAAAGACAATAATTTTTTTGGGTTTTTTTTATTTATTCACATATTTTATTTACTTATTTTATTTATTATTTTAAATAAAAATGTGTCTTCAAATAAAAATATTAAAATAATTTTCATGAAATCCTACCAAGATATTGAGTGATATTTTTAGACAGAAAAATTCTACCAACGTATTAGAGCATATTTTTAGATAGAAAATTTTACCAAAATATTAAAAAATATTTCAAAAAATGAATAATTATATATATGGGTTGTGAAAATTAATTTTTGAATATCCAATTATGGAATTACTAAAAATGTTCAAATAGCAATTTTTATGCAAATTCTTAAGTGAGAAATTACTTTTAAATTTTATCAACATATTGAAGAATTTAGAAAAAGATTTTTAATGTCAAGACTCTAAAATTTCATTTGTCATGAATAAAGTTTTTTATTTTAAAATGAAATGAATAAAACAACGAAACATCTCTAAACATTACAAATAATCTCTTTAAATGCTTCTAAGATGAGAAAATATTCTAAAATTATTACCAACATATTAGAGTAATTTAAGGATAATTTTCAATAAATAATTATCTGGCAAGATTTTTTAGGTTTTTGGATAACATGAAGTCAACTGATACCATTTTTTGGATGGATGTTTTTGGGGTGTTATAAACTTTTCTGCACGTAATCATACTTTTGAATCCAATTTTAGTTTCATAGACTAAAACTACTCTTTTAAGGAACTTGGGTCAAGCTTGAAATTTTTGTTTAAAAGGGAACAAATTCAATTAAGTAGCCAATCGCACCTAAATAAAAAAGATTGGTGGCGACTCTTAAAGTTTGTGTCTAATGATAAATTTACAAACTTATACGTTATGATAGTTTAACAACTCCACTGGGCTACCGAAAGTTAAACCAATAATAGATTTGTGTTATTCAAGCCTTACCAAAATTAATTAGTTTTTAATATTTTTTTTAAATACTTTTCATTCATTCTACTTATTTATTTTTAGCATTTGTTATCTTGTTATTCATATACATTTTTATAACATGAGCTCTATATCGAGCTCCATCCTTTAAGAGAGAGAAGAATATCTACACTTTTATGAAATTTCATGTCTTCACATGAGCTAGCAAAATACTACCACTCAAATTGAATCTTTTCCACTCATAGCCTATGATGGTTGAGGATTAGGTTCCTTACTAGTTTGTCATAGATAAGGATGTGAGGAATAATTTCAAAACTTTTAGATTATGAATCCAAACCACATGTAGTAAAACATAAAAAGCCAATATTATATTAGAGCTATATCCACCCATTATTATAATGTAACCCTAATTATGACATATGAGTGAACTTTTCGAGTTTTATTTATAGCAACCTACGAAAGGTTAAAAATTTTTATGGTTATTCAATCTCTTATTTATTGTTAAGTTGTTATATTTTAAACTTTAATCATGCATCGTTAATATATGCATTCATCCATGCATCACAATATGGCAAACATTAGTACATGCATTCATTTATCCCTTCACACATTGTTATACATACATTCATTTATTTATGCATCATAATTTGTTATGTGTCAAGCATTTAGTGCATGCATTCTTTTATGCATAGAGGATTCTTAAGCAAGTTAGGATAATCTTGAAAACTTCTTTGCATAAACCCTAAAGTAACATAGGCCTGTTAATTGTGGTACATAAAGTTCAAGAATAGCTTGATTGTCCTAGAATCTAATCCAACTTGCTCACCATTAGTACAATACTCGAGTCGAAGCCAAACGTATGGAGCAAGAGAATTCTAGCCTTATTAAAAAAATGGAAAGGGCCTAAGATGAGCTTAGAAGAGAACTAAACAAAATATTAAAGGCCTTGAATAGCTGAATAAAGGGAAAGCTATGGAAAAAGATTTCACTTTACAAGAGCATCCATCACAAGATATTTTTCAATCTTTTGTACCTTTTCAGGTATGGCCTATTTTAGACTTAGTCCTCTTAAGGCATTTTTCCACAACAATTCATATTTTATGTAGGATATACCTATCTTGGGATACCTTTTGCATCAACCCAAAGATAGTTTCAAATCTTTACAGAAAGGTAGTAAAGCCATTTAAGTCTTTAGCTTAGATGATCCAAAAAAGAAAAAAAGCTAAAAGTGAAGGAAAAGCTAAAAGTGAAGGTAATTAAGGCCTTAAAGGACTTTAAATTTGAAAAAAGATGAATCTATTAGAAAAAAGGTTATGGGCTATCCAAAAACATAGATTTTTACGACTCTATGGATGCAACTGACCTCTATTTGGTCGAAGATATTGTAATCTTTTCAAACTTTAAGGTCATAAAGTTTAAAAAGTATAATAGTACTAAATGTTCGATTACACATGTCACTATGTAATGTTGGAAAATGGCTACCTATAGTAGTGATGAAAAGCTCCTTATTATCTTAGTTACGG